GCTGGCCTGGGGGGCGCCTCCCCCACCCCCGCGGGGCCTGCGCCCCGGAAGCCCGGTCCTTGCCCGAACGAGCCCGGAGGGACGCGGGCCGGGACGACTGGTGGGACGGAAGCTGCCTTTCGGCAGGTAGAACCCAGGGGGGCAGGAGAGGTGGAGAAGGCGCAACTAGAGAAAAACGGGGTTCTCTCCGGGGTCGCCGGGCGCTCAGGGCAGGGAAGGAGCCTGCTGGGCTCCCCCGGTAGCGCAGAGGAGAGGCCCCCGGAAAGCAGGCCGGGCTCCCCGGGCCCCTGACGTCTAGCTTCTGCAGGGTGGACAGAGACCGGAGCGGCGTGATCTCGGACAACGAGCTGCAGCAGGCCCTGTCCAACGGTGAGTGGTGCCTGGCACACGCCTGGCAGGAAGGCCTGGGCCCCTCCCACCCGGTCACCCAGCAGGGCTGGCGGGTGGGCCTTGCGGGGAGGCAGAGAGGGCTGGTCAGAGGGTGTAGTGGGCACAGGCCACTGGCTTCCGGTGGGAGGTGGGTACTGCCACGGCCTGGTCTGGGTGGGCAGCGTCTCTTGGCGGTGTTCGTCAGCACTGCCCCTCCTTCGGCCGTGGAAGCACACAGCTCCTCGCTGTGGGGAATTGCCCCTGAGCCACGGCTAGAGGGTTTGGCAGTGGCCTAGAGGCCGTGCAGGCCAAGACACGCCGCCCTACCAGGCTGTCCCGCATGTGTTGGCCCATGTCCCCGCCGCCCCCGAGGCAGCAGGCGCCAGGCGCCGCTCGTGAGCGCCCACGCCCCCGCGCGGAGCCGGCCTCTGTGGCCTGGGCCCGTCTGTCTGCTTTGCCTCTTGACGTTTTTGCCCTACTTCTTTAGCCAACTACGTTTCTCGTAGCCAATAAGCTGCTGAGTGATGTAGTTGAAGTTGTGTCTTCCTGGTAGCGAAAGTTCAGATTGTGGAAGTTAGTTCACAGCGCCCTAGTCTCAGACACAGAGCCCTGGCGGCCCTGTCCTGCGGGTCTGCGCCCCTGCAGGCAGTCGCGCTCCCCGGCCTGTGCGGGCTTTGTGAGTCCGCAGGCTGCTCTGAAACAGGTGGGCGGCCAGAGCCGGCCTCGGGCTCCACCTCTGTGCGGCTTGGTGTTCCCAGCTTCTGGCTGAGTCAGCTGTTTCCCCCCAAAAGGCAGGATGCGTCCTCTGCGCTCCTGAGTGTGAGGGCGTTGCCTGAACCCCGCGCTCGCTAGGTCCCCCGGAGTCGCTCCCGCCCCTGTCTCGCCCTGGCCCCTGCTGCCCCCTCGCCGCTGTGCCAGAAGAACGGCCCTTCTGGGGCCCTTCTCTGTGAGTTTCTCTCCTTCCCTGTCCTGCTGTCGCCGTGTCTGCACGGCTCCGGCCTCCAGGCCCTGCCCTGGCCAGCAAGTCATCGGCGCTCACAGTCGCAGCGCACGGGAGTGGGCGTTGAGGGTGCCGTTCTTGGCGCTGACACCAGCGAAGTCGTTTTCACTTACAGTTTACCTCCCAGGGAGGAGCTTTCTGTTTTCAACATAGAGTCAAAATACAAAGTCATTCCGGAAACACGGGCCCGCACTGCTGGGGGGGTGCTGGTCACAGAGCCATGCGTCCACCCTCCGCTGAGTCAGGGCCAGGTGCTCTGTCCACCTACATGGAGCCTGCGGAGAGAGACAAGGGAGCGCTGGGTCTGGCCGGCCTGGCTGGGTGACCAGCCAGCCTTGCTGTCCGTGGCATGAGGTAGGGCGTTGGGAAGGTGACCGCTTTGCCCTCGCACCACGTCGGTCCCGCCAGAGGCTGCCGCTGCCTGATGGTGGGGGAAGGCGTCACCGCTGCGCCTAGTGTCCATAGGCGTCTGGCCTTCCACTGCGGGCAAGGGGTTACTCAGAGGCAAGTGAGCTGGGGCATTGTGAGCCTAGAGGGCCCAGGCCACGGAAGCCCCCTTCAGAAGAGGGTGTCAGGGTGCAGCCGCTTGCGAGGACAGTTTCTGTCCACTCAGAACTGGGCACGCACAGCGGAGGAGCCGGAAGGTGCGGCAATGCGGTAGGGATTCAGGAGAGCGTCAGGGGGCCTCGGGGTCGGTCCCCGCCGGGCTCTTTGCCTCCCGCCTTCCCTGTTCGCACTCTGGGTGAAGGGGACACCGAAGGCACAGTGAGGGCGGCGGGTGGGCGCTTAGTCGCCGGCGGGGAGCCTCTTCCCTGAGGCCTGAGAGGCGGTGAGAGCAAGAAGGGCCAGAGCGTGTCTGGGCCTCGCTGCAGGTTGGGAGAAACACGGGCAGGACCCAAAGCCCAGGGGCCAGGCGCTGGGCTTTACCGTGGGCAGTTGTAGAGGGTCGGGGTACCGGTCACAGAGCCCGACCCTGAACTCGGTGCAGGGCTGCGTGTGGGCGCGGGCCGGGGCTCCACACCGCCTGGACTGCGCTGTCTGGACAGAAGGGGGATGGCTTGTTTCTGTGCGGTGGGCGCAGGAGACTCCCCCCATGCAAAAAGAAATTTCCTGTTTGCTTGTTGTGCTGTGACGTGTGCAGGCTCTCGAGGCACAGCTGGCGCGGGAGGGTCTCTGATCGAGAAGCCGGCCCAGCCTCGTGGTGGCCTCTCCACGCTGCAGTGAGCCCGGGGCTGGCGGAGCCGCCTGGCTCCAGGGCACAGGGCACCTCTCCCGCCCCTGCACCGGGGGCTCTGGGGTCTGCCGGGTCCACCCATCGGCCCACGCGGTGGCCGCCTCCCGGGGCTGGGCGTGGTGACTGGGGCCTCCCTGGGTGCGGGGAGGTGCGGTCCCTCCCGCTGGCTGTCAGAGGCCCGGTCATGCCGCACAGTGTGGCCACCACTGTCCCGCAGCCCCAGAGGACATGTGCTATGTGCAGGGAGCGCGATCTGGCCTCTCAAGGCTGCGGGGAGAGGGGCCCGGGGGCAGGCTCCGGGGGGGCTCTCTTCTCGGAGGGGCAGCTGCCACACGCTCACGAGGCTGTGCCCCAGCTCAGCCTGCAACGAGCTAAGCAAGCCCTGAGGCTGCCCGCCTCACGTGGGCCACGAGGAGCCGCTGGTCCGTGCTCAGGAAGGGTCTCACTGGGCTCCTGCTTGCTTTCAGGTACCTGGACACCCTTCAACCCCGTGACCGTGAGGTCCATCATATGTAAGTGAAAGGCCGTGGCCGCCTGTCCCTGGGCTGCTGGTCCCTGTGCAGCCCCGTGGGGGCCCCGGGAGGGCTCTGCCCGCGCGCCTGCCTCTGCGGCGCTCCTCGGGACAGCGAGCGAGGCGCACTCTGGGCGCGTGGTCCGGGCCGAGCTCCCCGGTCTCCAGCTGCCTTTTAGCCAGAGTCAGCGAGGTTCGGGGCCTTTTTGTAGTGGGACCTGGACCTGGGCCGCTGTTGCCTGGTGAGAACGGCCACGCTCAGCCCGTGGTCTCTCTCGTGAGTGGACGTTCAGTCCCGCCGGGGGGAAGGCGCTCCTGTGCCTGCAGGACGGCCCTCCTGTGGGCCCGGGGGTCCCCCGGCGCCGCTGGGGCTGAGGCCACAGGGCTGAAGGCGGCCCCTTGCCCACAGCGATGTTTGACCGCGAGAACAAGGCAGGAGTGAATTTCGGCGAGTTCACAGGCGTCTGGAAGTACATCACCGACTGGCAGAACGTCTTCCGCACCTACGACAGGGACAACTCGGGCATGATCGACAAGAACGAGCTCAAGCAGGCGCTCTCAGGTTTCGGTAACGCGCTCTCTCCCGCCCGTGTAGCCTGTGTCATTTTGGAGTCCCTGGCCGCTGAAGGCGTCCGGCGGCGTCCTCACCTCACTGGACTTGAGCCCAGTCTGTGCAAAAACTTCATTTTCATCATAGCTTTACTTTTGATTTGACGTGGAAGCTTAAAACTCAGTTTTCATCCAAAATGAGATCCAGGCTACACAGCTCCCCGGGGCGGCGGAGCCACAGCGGGGAGAATGCGGCCTGCCAGCAGGCCCCGCGGGCGCCGGCCGCAGGCTCATTCGCCAGCTCGAGCTCCGGGGCGTGCCCGGCACCTTCCAGAGACATCGGCCGCCGGGCCTGGGGCCGGGGCGGCTGGGCTTCAGTTCAGGAAGGAGAAGCTGAGCCCTGCTTGCTGGGCTCTCATCTGCACCCCTTCCGCGCTTCAGACGGGGCTGTGACGTCACGCTTGAGGGCGTTCCAGCCCAGTGACGCCAAGTACTGCTGCCCGGGGTCCCCAGGACCTCCCCGGCACCCCGTGCTCTGCAGCCCTATCTGTTCTGGCGTGGCTGTGATGCGGTGCCACATCAGGGAGTGGCTCAGGCCCCCATGGGGCCAGGGCTGGGGCTGGCCCTGGGTCCAGCTCTCAGCTGGGACTTGGGATGCGGCTGGCCCTGCTCTGCCCTCAGTGGGGCAGCAGGAGGATGGGACGGTGCCCCACGAGAGCGGTTGTGCCAGCGGGGGCCAGAGGCCGGTTCGCTCCAGCCGAGGCCCCCGAGAAGGGGCAGAGTTCCAGGGCAGCGTCTTCTGGACTCATTCCCCGGCAGGCCTCGCTCCACTCTGGGCCGCCGGTCCCGGGCTGCTGGCAGAAACGGCGGTGGGGTGGGGGCTTCCCCGGCCTCTCGGGTTCATCCAGAAAGGCTTTCTGCTGACTCCTGGTTTCCCAGCCCTCTGAACCTGTCTTGGTGGAGGGGACCTCGTCACCCGGGGCCTCAGGAGCCCTAAGAATAAGTGTCTTTCCTCGGCCAGGCAGGGCCTGACTGCACTGCAGCCCAGCGGGCGCAGGGCCTGAGCCCAAGTGCCCGTGACCCCTGTGGGCCCACGCACTGCCTCTGCCCGCCGTCTCCTCGCGGGCTGGGTCTGGTCTTCTCTGCATGCCAGTGAGCTGCAGCACGCCCTCTGGAAGGTACCGCCCGTGTGTGCATGCAGTGGGAGGCCGGTGGCGGAGGCTCCTCGGGCGCGGGGCGGCCATCCTTGCCAAGGTCCAACCAGACAGACAGTCCAGTGTCCGGTGCCAGGGTCAGGTCTCCTGAGTGAGGGAGGGGCCCTCGCAGAAAGTGGACAGGTGGGCAGGGAGCAGCCCTGGGGCTGGCCGTGGGCAGGCACTTGGCCGAGCACCTCATTGCCCACAGCGGCCGCGAGGCGCTGGCCGCAGCCTGGCCCGTGCCCCCTGGGTCTCCAGGGCTGCAGCGCCCAGCCCACGCGCAGCCACCAGGTTGCGTGCCGCTCACTCTCCTTTCTCCTCAAGGTTACCGCCTCTCGGACCAGTTTCATGACATCCTCATTCGGAAGTTTGACCGACAGGGCCGGGGCCAGATCGCTTTTGACGACTTCATCCAGGGCTGCATTGTCCTGCAGGTAGCTCGCTGGGCAGTGGTCATGTGTCAGGCCTCCAGGCAGCCTCCAGCAGCTGAAAGCCAGTCCCGCCCGTCGGGGCCCCGGTCCTCCCCCAGAGCCCCCGGAGCTCCCCCGGGCTGGTGACACAGCTGCTGGTCTGCGGCACGGAAGAGTGGGGTGCAGGCTAGAGGCACGGGGTTGAGAAGACTCAGCAGAGACACTGGGGAGCAGAGAAGCAGGGGGAGACGAGAGGTCCGCACCCTGTGGGTCTCGCCCTGGCCGGATGGCACCCAGGCTGCGGCGGCGACTGCTAGAGGCGGACCCCCGGGTGACGGGAGGCCTGGCTCTGGCGTTCTGATTGCACTGACCGTCTGAGGAAACGGTGGGCGCGCCCCGTGGCCTGGCCAGCCCTCCTGTCCGGGCGGCGGCTCAGCCGCCTCCTGCCTAGTGTCGCCCCGGCCACCTCCCCGGCCGCCCCGAGCCTGGGCCTCAGTGCGTCCTGTCCCCCAGAGGCTGACGGACATCTTCAGGCGCTACGACACGGACCAAGACGGCTGGA